CCTCCCTCCTCAGCCTTGAACCTGGCTCTGTAGTTTTTCTCTAAAATACAATTTTTAAAATTTTGCTTTCCTTGTCTGTTTTTTTTAAAATGTATTTTAGTACAGGGTCTATAGGGTCTCACTGCGTAGATTGGACTCATAGTGATCCTGTTTTCAGCCTCTCAAGTACTGGGATTACAGGCACATGCCACCATACCCAGTCTCAATCGCCATCTCAGCGGGCCCCAGGGGCAGGGCTGGACTGGCATACTAGGGATCAAATCCCAGCCACTGTGCTCTGCCTAAGCAGGCACTTTAGTCTGCTGAGCTATCTGGTTGGCCTACCTGTCTCCCTTCTTTATCCAGTTCTCATATGTCTTCTGCTTCATCATGATTATTAACACCAGTTAAGCTTCATCAACCAATTGGCTTATTTCAATTTGTGGATCTACTTAGGATAATCTGAACTTCTCTAGACTCAGAGTCTAAATTAGTATGTTTATGGAAGGCTTCTTCAAGCGGAAGCTAAAAAGGAGCTGGTTTCTCACTGGGGTCCTGACTAATTCACAGGTTTGGCCATCCCCTGTTGCATACTGGCTAGAATGGCTTTGATGTGTAACTGTTGCTTAGCTCCTCCATTCCTTATGTCATAATTCCACTCAGGCCCTTCTTGAGACTCAACGCTATGGTTAGATGATTATCAGAAGGTGAAGCTGCAAAGGCTCTATCATTGGCCTGATTTGCCACCTTTGTTACCCTTTTTTTCTCCACTGCTGTGTAACAAGAGATGAGGATGAGTTAGACATCTCACCAGTTCAGATCAAAAGCCATTATTAGGGTTTGGAAATCATCACCAAACTCTTTAAGATCTTCAAAGAATCTACCCATTTTTTTCTTGTACTTTTAAATTGAACAGGGCAGTGCCACAAGGACTGTACCATTGGTGCCTGCCACTTCTCACAGAGATAAAACAGTGGTGGGCTCAGATGTTTGCTTCCCTGGGTCTAAGACCTATGATTTCTGAGCATCTTTGTTCTTAACTGTACTGCTTTGGATTTCTTGTATAAGAGAAACAATGAAATATTTAGGCCTGTGTGTCTGATTCATGTCACTTAAACTTATAGTCTCAAGATGCATCCATTTTCCTACTGATGACTCAAGTTCATGACTGAAAAAAAAAGAGAGAGAGAGGAAGAGAGAGAGACAGAGACAGACAGACAGACAGACAGACAGACAGACACACACACACACACAAAGACAGAGAGACAGAGGGACAGAGAGGAGAAAGAGAGAGGCAGAGACAGAGAGAATATTTAAAGACCTCAAATCCCACTTGTTTCATTTAGGTGAGGTGAGGAATTTCTCTAATCACAAGAATACATTGCTAGGGGCTGGAGAGATGGCTCAGTGGTCTAAAGTACCTACTTGGAACAAGCTTGGCAAAGCACAGGGACCGCGGTTCAATCCCCCAGCACCACATGCCAGCCAGCCCCGCCCCCAGGTGGGCTGACCTGGCCACACACACACACACACACACACACACACACAATAAATGTTAAAAAAAAATACATTGCTAGGATAATAGAAAAAACTGAATATAAACCAGCTCTCAGATGATATCAAAGAATTACTAGTATTTTGGGGAGAAATAATAGCATTGTGATTTTGGAGGAAAATGTCTTAATTTTAGGAAATGTGCACTGAAAAAGTAACATCATGATATCTACAATTTATATTCTATATACATTGCAAATACAAGTACACACAAAGATAACGCACATATGGTAAATACTAGAAATAAAGCATGGGGTCAGCAAGATAGCTCAGCAGTCTAAAGTGTTTGCTTAGGCAAGCTTAGGCAACCGCAGGGACTATGGTTCAATTCCCAGCACCACTTGCCATGTGAGCCCTGCCCCCAGGGCAGGCTGAATCAGCCACAAGAAAGAAAGAAAGAAAGAAAGAAAGAAAGAAAGAAAGAAAGAAAGAAAGAAAGAAAGAAAGAAGAAAGAAATTCATAAAGCTAGAAGGGACAAAAAGAGAGAATAGAAGGGAAAATGGAAACAAGGCTTTTATAAATTACAAGGGGAAGAAGAGTTGAAAGGAGGGGAGGGAAATTTTTAAAAAAGCAAGGTATATCATGTATAGGTACAAATTCCTTCTGATGAACATTATTATATCTAAAATATATCAATAAAATTAATTAAAATTTTTAAAAGCTAGATACTGGGTATATGTACAAGCAGTGCACTAGATAGCTAAAGAGATTATGCATCAGCTGGAAATGATTTTGGCTACTAATAAAACTCGAGAAAAAAAGCTTAATTTTATTTATTTATTTATTTTTTGCGGAACCGGGGATTGAACTCAGATCCTTGTGTTTGCCAGTCAAGCGCTTATCCTACTGAGCCATTTCCTCGGCCTATTGGTACATTTTAGATATACATAATTCTTACATTCATTATAGGGAGTTTGTGCATGTACATGATACATCTTGCTTCTTCTTAAATTTTAGGAACATTTTTTACTAAACAAGAATTTTGAGAGTCACCATAATGGTTAGTTCAGCCCTTCAGTGATGCCATCCAGGCCCAGCTTGTTCTGCCCATTGGAGCTTCAGACAGGTCAGTTCAAGGTGGCGAGATAGCTGCTGAGCTCTAGACATCTTGGCCACATTCAAAGGCAGGAAATGGGTGGTGCAGAGTAAAGCAGGCTCCCTCTTGAACTATCCTCTTTCTTGAGAAAGTGAAATATTTCCCAGAAGCCTTTGGGACTCTTCTGTCAAGGCTCTTGTCTAGAACAGTCCTGTGGCCAGTCTTAACTGCAGGGTAGTCTCAAAATAGAATCACCCTGAAAGACTGACATCCGGTGTGACTCATCCCCTTGGGCTACCAGTGGGCAGTCACCCAGCGCAAAATCAGCACTCTGTTCAGAAGGAAATGACAGCTACTTGTCATTTGCTACACAGATGCCCTTTTTCTTAGAAAGGAAATCATGCTATTTCAGTGGATAACAAAAGTGCCACTAAATGAAGCTATAAAAAACCCATCCTGCACATTATAGTGATGATTATACATCTTGGTTTTTAACAGGAGATAAAGGAGACTTTAGGTTTCTTGTCTTTGTGTACATAATCTGTTCAGCAAAATAAAATGGAAATTTTTCACCATCCATAGAATTACCTTTTGCTTCATTTTCAATTTTAGTAATGCATTTCAATATACAATTTATTTTTAAAGGCTGTTCTCATGATGATAAACATTATCATAATGATTATGATTATGCAGTAGAATCGTATACACACAACTACACTTCAGGTTCTTAGCCACACTTTGTTGAGTGTCCTCTAAATGCAAGGTGCTTTAAGTGGTTTACATTGTTCCCTCATTTATGCAGAAAGGATGTGCTGATACAAAAATCTGTAAATTAAATGTCATCAGAGCTAATAAAGAAAGAAAACTGAAAGCTTTCAACAACGATTCTAATTTCTATTTCCTTCCTCATCTGTGTGAGGCTATCACATTGGGTATTCTGGACATCTTAAAGTGAAAACCCATTATTGATCATAACAAGTAGTAGTCATAACTAGACTTTTCTAGGGTTCCCTCTTGTCTGCTTCACTATCCCTTGGCTCAGGTGTAGGCTTTCCTTCATGAAAGGTGGGACCCACTCATCGTACATATACTGGGATGAATTCTCAGGTCTACAATAGGCACCCAGCCATCCTTGGTACCATGGACAAGTATTCTGGGAAGAGACAGTTGGAAATGGTCTACACTCAAAAGGGCTTTGAGTATCAAGAAGCTTCTCCTCATGGGCCATTTGTCTGTTGAGTTAGCATGCAGAGCTGATTGCTTAGGCCTGCCTCGCTATGTCAGGGTACCTTTCAGTTGTCAATCATGGTAGCAAGGCAGATTCAAAGTGGAAGTTTAGCATGGAAGAGCTAAACTTCCACTTTGAGTTGCCTGCAGTACCTAGGGATTCCCTGGGCCTCTTGCCAAGTGTTGTCTCAGGATCACCTAACTGAAACAAAGCCCAACAGAGCAAAGGCTGGTTGTGAGAGTCTCTGAAGAGCCAAAAGCAAGAGAGTAGTGAGTAGGTTGAAGGGAAAGTAATAAGCATGCCACTGAGAAACTAGCTATAGGAGTCTAAATAGAGAGACATATTACAAAAATAAAATAAGATAAAAACAAGAAGAAGAAGGAGGAGGAGAAGGAGAAGGAGGAGGAGAAGGAGAAGGAGAAGGCGAATTCTCCCCTCATGGAGCTTACTTTCTAGCAGGAAGAACAAATTATAAGCAAGTTATGAAAATAAATTGTAAGTAGAGAGTATATTACTAACAAATAGTAAAGAAAAATCAGCAGAAGATGATGGATGAGCACGTAGATGCTATACTTACAACAGTAGCTGATAGTCTTGTGTGACTATATTTAAATTAGTTAAAATAAAAAAATTAGTTCTTTGGTCATACAAGTTACACTTCCTATCCTCAGTAGTCACATAATAGCTACTCTGTTGGGGGGACCATCTTCCTATCTTTGCAGAATTCTCAGGGCCCTCCTGGTCCTCCGGTTTTATGCAGGAGTAATTTCCACTGAGGTCACTTGCGGACCCAGTGATGAGCCAACACTTCCAGTACTTCCTTCACGCTCTCAGCCACTTCCTTTGAGAAGTCAGTACACTGTAACACATGAGAAGCCATTACACTATAACACGTCCTCTGCCTCTGGATGTGAGAAAAGGTATTCAGAAAGAAAATATTTCCCAGTGGTCACTCAAACACAAGTAAGACCTTTTAAAGTCAAAATCAAAACAAAAACCCTGAAAATTTCCCAACTTGCTGAGCAAGGCTTATGGGTTCTGTTGCTTGCATTAATTTCTATTTAGTAGACATTAATAGTAACTGGGCTACTTTCTAAAAGCAAATTCATGCTAAATAGCATGTTAGTGTCTCTTCATTAACATCAAAATTTACTTTACATATATATTTAATAACATTTATGATTTGGATATATGTGTTTTAGGAGCGGCTTTGAGCTACCTCATGAGTCCACGATTTTTGATTTATGCAAGCTGTGCCTTATCGATTTGGGTAAGATGAATCAAATGAAATTAATAATTTTGTTTTTTGGGGGATTTTTTGTAGTTTATTTTTCTATTTTATTTTTTATTGAAAAATAAATATGAATGAGACAGTTTCACAGCTGATTAATAGGACAGTTTTGATAATCAATACACTGTACATTGTTATCTTCTTAGTGGTTATCCATAATACAAGAAGCAGACAGGATATTCTGTCCAAACACTGTTAGTACACCTCTTTCTTCTCATTGAATTAAGCGAAAGTAGCTGTAAATTTATCCTAACTATTTTGTATATATAAATACAAAATGATCTTTCCTTTGTATCCTTTTTTTTTTGTCCTGTCAGAGGTGAATATTCTATTGGCATCTAAATACTATAGGTGTTTGAATTCAACTAAACAATCTAACACTGTCTAGCAGTCTATAATATTAGTGGGTTATCCTCAGAAGTTATTGACTTGAGCCTTTTACAGCTCATCGTATTAATATGGATTTACTTTATATACCTCGTTTTTATACTTTTCTGCTGGATGGTTAAGACCAAGATATAGCAAGACCTATATACCAAGAAATGTAACTTTTGTATCTGATAAGTTCAGCCAAGTACTCTCAGGATTTATCCTGTAGCCCTGTACTGCCCTTTGTACATCCTTTTGTCAGTGTCTGACATGAGGATGAGTCACGGCCATTGCTTGATCAATTTGCTCTCTGTGAAAGCTTGAGAAAATGTTTTTTCTCTCCATGTGACTCTCCCTAGGCTCACTTTACATCATCAAACATATTCATCTGTGACTCCATAATCTTCTTGATCAGAAAATTTGGAGCACAACTGAGTTACATGTTGTTACATACAGGTTTTCCTATGTCCCGAGGCTTCACTGACCTTGAAAGGCTAGGGCCAAAATGTTGGCTAACCATGCAGCCCTTCCTTTTCTCCAATTTTAACAACTTAGGTTGTTAACCCTCCAGAAGAGAAGCTAATTATTAACCTGCAATATATGCAGTTCGGTTTACCCTATCTGTCTAAATATCAAACATTTTGGCATATCATGGAACAGGTATTTTCCATCAGATATTGATATGTTGAACTTTAAGTCCTTAGAAATTAATATTTTTGGATAAAGTGAACTATAATATTAAGGTTATTAGATTGTCTCAGCATATTAGATACAATGTGTGTGTGTGTGTTTCAAAGTGACCTTGTACTCCAAGCACACTTAACAGGTGGAGGCAAGAAGATCACCATAAGTTTGAGGCCAGTCTAAGCTACATAGTGAGTTCAAGGCCAGTCTGAACTACATAACGAGATGTCTAAAAAAAAAAAAAAAGTCCTGAGTTACCACATATAGAGCACTTAGAGGAACATGGGAACACCCATACAACATGTATGAAGGGCAGTTATAATAAATAATTAAAAATAAATGCCATAAAATGACCCAAGTGAAGAGCTATGATGTCAGAATCCTTCATGGGGCCTTTCACAGTCACTGTTCCTTCCCACTAGCAGCAGCCGTGAGCCTCGCTGTTAGGGCATTTGCCTCCATGCTTTTCTTTAGAATTTTACCTCTGGTGCAAGATATGCCCGTATGGAATAGTTTCATTTTGTGTTTGAACTTTAAATGAATTGCTGCCACATGCATTCTGTTATGTTATTTACTTAGCATTGCATTTAAATACCCATATTGTTGCAAGCGGCCCTAGTTTGCTTTTCATTGCTGTACATTAATTCAGTGTACCATAAACCACAATTTGTTGTATTAATCTTTCCAAAGAGTCGGCTTTCGGCTTCACCAAGCCTTTCTCTATGTGTCTTTATTTTCTTAGTTCAATAATTTCTGCCCACATCTTTATTATTGCTTTTTCTACTTTCTTTGATCTCTTAGAGCCATTCCTTTTCCTTTTAATACAGACATTTAGCTCATTGAATTCAGTCTTCCTTTTCTAATATATAGACTTAAGGTCACGGGTTTCATTTCAAGCAGTAACTGCATTGCCAAGCTTGGCTGTACTTTGTTAAAAATATTTTATAATGTCTTCTGTGATTGCTGACTTGTCCTATGCAGTCCTATGCATTACTAAGTATATTCATTAATTTACAAACATGAAGAAATTCAACTTAAACTAAATTTCTTCTTTTTGTTTCTGTTGGTTTTAAACTTAATTGTCTTGAGAACAGAAAACTCAGAAATCTGCATGGTTTCAATAGGCTGAAATTAAGATTTTTTCAATCCATTATATGGTGAATTTTTACAATGTTTCATGTGCTTAAAATGATGCGTAATCTGGGTCTGCTGAATATGGATTGCTGAACACACATACATTCAAAAGGCATTTATACGGCCAGCAAGATAGCTCAGCAGACTAAACGCCTGCTTGGGCAAGCACAGGGACTGGGGTTTGATCCCTGGCACCATATGCTGCACCGGCCCCACCCCCTGGTGTGCTGAGCTGGCCATGGAGACCCAGCTACCATGTGCTACCATGCCTAGGTTACTCCTAAAATTTTTATTTAGTATTTTTCTTCAAACTGCCCATGCTAGCTGGACGTGGTGGCACACTACTGTAATCCCAGTAGTTGCAAGGCTGAGGCAAAAGGGTCACTGTGAGTTTGAGGCCAGCCTGAACTGCAGAGTAAGACCCTGTCTTAAAACAAAATACAAAAAAAACAACCAAACAAACAAAAAACTTGCTCAGGTCACTCTAGTGTTTCCCATCCCTGTCCAGATTGTCTTTGGATATAGGAATCATTATTACTATTTTACAGCCTGCATCTGACGAATTCAATATCTGAAGTCTCCGTGGGTCTATCTGAAGTCTCCGTGGCTCTGTCTGTACTGTTTTTTATTTATTATACACTATGTTCATGGAGCTCTAATTCCTTTTATTACTGGTGTGCTGAGCATTATACTTAAAAGTTATTGCAGGTGGGGCCAGGGAGATGGCTCAGTAGAATAAGTGCTTGCCTGGCAAGCATAAGGGCCTGAGTTCAATCCCTGGTTCTGCCAAAATAAAGTTATTGAAAGAGTCCTTAGAAGTCTACAGTGATAGCCTCTTCTTTTGGAGAGGAGTTTAATTGCTTTCTCTCAGATGCATTTGCTTGTACCTTAAGCCTGTACTTCTTTGCATCTCAGACTCATAGTGATCCTCCTGTCTCAACCTCCCCAGCCCTGGGATTACAAGTGTGCACCACTACACCCAGTTTTAGTGGCCAACTCGGTGGGCCCAGGCCAGCACAGCATGTGGTACTGGGGACTGAACCAGATCCCTGTGCTTGCCAGGCAGCTGCATAGACCACTGAGCCATCTCCCCAGCCCCAACCCTGTGCTTCTTGATGGAAACAATAATGCTGGTCAGCACAGGGACTTACCTAGCGCATGGTCAGTGCTTAGCATTTCCCGAGCCATCTGGAATCACAAGCCTACACTGGGGCTGGCTTACTTCTGGTTTCTGTGGAATCCTAGCTTAAAGCTAGTCCTTATTGTTAGTAGGATGGATTTCTTTCATCTGACTTCCCAAGGCCACAAAAGCTGCAGTTCCATTTCACAAATATTTCCTTTGATCTGCAGATATCCTCAGGGTATACTGTTTCTCCTCTTAGGATCCTCATATTTTTCCAAGTTTTTTGTCTGATATTTTAGCCTTAATTTATTGGCTCTTTGATGCTTTTAAGACTTTAGAAAATATCCTTCCCTGCTTTTTAAAGTTGTGAGTAAATTGTAGATTAAGTTATAGTTGTACTGCATAGAAATATAATTTTGACATTGTTTCTAAAGTTTATGTGCTATATGTCCTTAGGGACAAATGCATCTTTCTGGATTTTAACCTTATCCTGTCTTTTAGTCAGTGATTAAAGCATTCTTTGCCTCTGCTGCCTTGCAGGGAGACCGAATGTGGCACTTTGCCATGTCTGTGTTTCTGATAGAATTATACGGACATAATCTCCTTCTAACAGCGGTGTTTGGCTTAGTAGTGGCTGGATCTGTACTAATATTTGGGGTCTTAATTGGAGATTGGATCGACAGGAAACCAAGAAACAAAGGTAACAGTGTTACTTATGATGTGTATGATTATGTGGTACACTATGATCACACATTTTTTTGGTTTGTTTAGTCAAATAAAATTGTAAGTCTGAGCTAAATTACCATAGAGCATAACTTGAAAACTCTAGTAAAAGATTTATGTCATATTCTCTTGTATTATATTTTATACACTTTAAATATGATTTTTACTTATTGTATCTTACTGTGTGAAGGACTAAACACAGAGCCTCATATATGCTCTGTACGTGCTCTAATCCTGAGCTACCCCTTAGCCCTTTAATGAGGTTTTGGATGCTAAGTAAAAGTTTTTAATGTAAAATTCATGGAAAAAATGCTATATTTTTAATATTCCAGTGTTACCCACCTACGATATTTGCATTACACATATTACAGGGAATTTCTCTGTATAAAAGATTTTGTGGGGCCAGAGAGATGGCTCAGTGGAATAAGCACTTCCCTGGCAAGTGCAAGTTCAATCCCCACTTCTGGAAAAAAAAAAAAAATCAGCTCTAGAAGATTTTGTACCTCTACAAAAAAAGATTTTGTATCTGGTATCCCAAATAGTAGGAATTAAAGTCTGAGGGCTTATTTGTTCAAAGGTAAAACTCCTTTTAGCTTTTGGCTATTGTATCTTCGTACAGTTCCTTTGTCTAATAAAAATGTGGGATTCCGTCTGTTGTCCTGTCCTTTTGATTTCTAGTCAACAGGATTGTTTTTATTTCACCTAGAGGTCTGGGAAAGGCATTTGCTGAAGCAAAGTCATGGAAAAACCTAATTTATTTAATTGGGAGCCAGGATTAGTGCCCCATTCCTGCACTCCCAACCCTGGTGGGTGGGCAAGGTGGGGGATTGAAGGTCAACCCGGGCTACATAGTAAGACACTATGTCAAAGAAAACAAAACTCTAGAATGTTGTTGCTTAGGATCCATTGATGGATTTTACCACAAATTCAATCCAGGAGACTGAGATATACTACTAGAAAATGTCAAGTTCTTTAATTCAGCTGGAGTAGGCTTCTCATATTGCTCTACTGTCGGGGTCTGTTTTCATTCCTCTCCAAAGTCCAGCTTTTGTTTTCTTTTGGGTGTGAAGTGTTTGTCCTGAGTGAGCCCTGCACTGCACTTTGCTTCCTACTGAAGCCTGTAATGCTGATGGAAAGGACAAGCGTGTTGGCTGGGTGCCATAGGATTTGGTCACACACAGTAGCTCTGCACTGAGTGATAATGTGGCTGTGACTTGCCTCTTAAAGCCAAGAGTAAATACTAGGCCCCTGGCATTTCCATCTGCAGTGGCTCATGCAGCACTCTTCATCCAGAACGGTTCTGTCACCACCTGCTGCGTGGTCCTGATGGTCGTGTTCTCCTACAGAAGGGAGATGGATCAAATGTGGCATGGCTGGTTCACTGTGAGTGTCCCTTCTCTCTTGTGCTGTGATGGCTGGGGGCAGGGGAGGGGCATCGTGGGATGCTTGAGCCCTGGCTTATCTTTTGGCAGTGGCTTCCTCACCCTAGATGTGTGAATCTGAGCCCAAATTCCATGGACAAGGAGGCAACAGAACAGCTGAACTGGTCTGCAAGATTAGCATCAGATCTGCTGTAATGAAGAGAGAGGAAGAAAGTGCTCAGCACAGCACTGGCTCCAGACTTCACTGAGCCTTTCTCTCTCTCCCTCTATCAGATAAATAAATACCCCTGGGGTACAGAAAAGTCTACTTTGGGCTCCACTGTCTGCTTCCTTCCATAGGTGGCCTGCTATGCAGCGGTCATCACCCTGGCAGCCATGGCGAACCTGGCAGGCACAGCACTGACCATCACCATTCAGAAGGACTGGATTGTGAGCATCACAGGGGACAACAGAGGCCAGCTGGCTGGTGAGCAGTGCTGCCCAGGGCCTCCAATCAGTGGAGAAGTAGAATGGATGTGGAAGGACCATGCAGGTCTCTGAGGGGGATAGTGTTATACGTGGTAAGAGAACAGTATTTGGTGCCAACCAGGTTTGGGTTTGAATTAAATTCCGCTATGCCTCTTATCAACTGTATGCACTGGGACGAGTTACCTAACCCGTCAGGACTTGATTTTCCTGAACTGTTGAATAGGAGAAACACACACACACACACACACACACACACACACACACACACACACACCATGGCTCAGTATGGGGAGGGATCCTATGAGATACAGGAAGTGCCTAAGACCTGGTTGTCATTGCTACCCGGAAGCACACATAGGCTGCACTTTTGGAGACGAGCGTTTCATTTGCAGGAAGTTCCACAAGTTTAGACCTGAAAAATAAGTGAACTGAAAGATTTCTTAATTCTGGCCAATGATAAGTTTCCCCCTCCAGGATAAAAACTGCCCTCCCCCCCCCAATTTTTTTTCTAATAAACACACTCAATGGAATAATCTGACAACTTTGTTTTTGTTTCTGTTTACAAAATGAGAATTGTCCACTCTGCAGGATACTTAAGTGGCCGATGTAAAGCACACATGTAGTCCTGTCTTGAGCTTGTGCCATGGGTGCTTTCTGCTAGGAGATGTGCGGGAGTGTTGATGGCCAGGATAAAGGGAGCTATGAAGAAGGAATCTACTAAAATATATGCCTCGCAAGGAGGAGAAGCCCCTTATAACATGTCTTTTAGTAGCCCTTATTTAACTGCACTGTGACTAAACAAGACTGCCTAAAATAGAACAGCTATGTGAGTAAATGCTGGGTGTTGTGGTGTTAGGGTTGAGACTCTTCCAGTTGTAAGTTTATTAAATTTAAAGAAATCTAAGGCAAAGCACATATTGTGGTTCAAGTTCACTACAGTTTCTTAAATGACTTAGGAAATCTATTCTTCAATGATGTGGCAGAGTTCAGAGAATAGGATTTAGAGTCCAGATTTGTCTTTGTAGAGCCTAGGGATGAGGGGCACTAGGGATCAGACCCAGGACCTTCACACTGAGCTCCAACCTGGCCCGTTATAAATTTTAAGATAGGGTCTCACTATATTGCTAAATTGCCCAGATTGGAGGTCAACAAGATAGCTCAGCTGACTAAGCGCCTGCTTAGGCAAGCACAGGGACCAGGGTTCGATCCCCTGTACCACGTGCCTCACCAGCCCCACCCCTGGGCATACCCAGCCAGCCACTGAAACCAGACATGGTGGTACACACCTGTAATCCCAGTGTTGGAGAGGCTGAAAAAGATCACTATCAGTCCAAGCTGTGTAGTGAGACCAAATATATTTTTTAAAAAAAAATGCCCAGATTGGGCTTGAACTTGCAGTTTTCTGCCTCAGCCTCCTAGAGTGCGGGATTACAAGTGTGTACCACTACACTAGCATTAGACTGTCCAGGTTTGAATATCAGATCTACCATTTTCTCTTTGATTTTGAGCCAATAAGTTCATCTCTGTGTACCTCAGTTTCCTAATTTGCAAAAAGGAAATACACTATTATTAACCTCTAAGAATTATTTTGAGGATTAAGTAAGATGCATATAAATAGAAGGCTTGGAACTGACACAGAATAAGCATTCATTCTTTCCTCTGCCCTGCCCTGTCACTTGCTTCCTCTGTCACATGTCAGGTTTTTTGGCTGGCTTGGCTGCCTTAAGTGTGGGTCTGGTAAGGCATGGGGAACTGGGGATCAAACCACAGTCCCCTGTGCCTGACTGGGTTTGCCCCAGCAGGCTCACATGTTAGTTTTAATGAAGGAGTATAAAAGTTATTATTGTTATTATGGTACTAGGTTTGATTCTAGCACCTTTACACTAAGATACATCCATAGCTCTTTGTTTGTTTGTTTGTTTTTTAATTTGAGACAACTTAGTGACTCTGTAAGTCAAGTCACTAAGTTGGCCAAGTTGGGTTTTAGCTTATGACCATCTTGCTTCAGCCTCCCACAGTGTTGGGATAACATGCATTGTACCACCACACCCAGCTGAATATTGTTGGTTTTGTTAGGAAAGTGGGGTGTGATGGGAAAGAGCACAGAGATAAGAGTTAGAATAATCAGCTCCAAGTCGCTCTGTCCTCCAGTACACAAATCTATTAATCCTTCAAGTTTCCACAGAACTGACCTTAAAGGCTTTTCAGGTTGAAAACCCAACTATTCATCTGTAGTTAAACCAAAAAGGATCTTCCCTATCACTGTCATGAACCTAAGGTGTGCCTGACAGTCCCAGCAAGTACATGATGGGAATTCACCTGGGGGACATAGCTGGCAACCCCAGCAAGTGCATGATGGGAAATTCACCAGAAGATGGTCTTATCTACTGAATTGCAATGTTTCCTTCCTTCCACCTCCAGGGATGAATGCAACCGTCCGGCGGCTGGACCAAGTCATCAATATATTTGCTCCCCTGTCTGTGGGCCAGGTGATGACATGGGCATCTCATGTGATCGGTTGTGGTTTCATTCTTGGATGGAACTTGGTTTCACTTCTTGTAGAGTTTCTATTTCTGTCCAGGGTTTATCAACTAGTTCCCCAATTGGCTGTAAAACCCCAGCAACAAACAGGGGGGCACTTCCTAGAAAGGCAACAGGATGCTGTGAACATCCAAGGTAATGCAAACTCAGAGAGACCTCTTGTTCTTTTTTGCTCCTTTATGTTACTGTTTCATTTCTTCTTTCCAGAACTTGTGTCTAAACATGATCTTAACACTTTGCCTGTAAATGTGCCTAGAAACAATGCTTAATGAGAAGGCTCCAGCTGTCCCACTGCTTATGCAGTTCATATGGCTGATCTTGTTGGTGGGGGCAGGCGGGCTGTTTTGTACAGTTACACAAGTTATACACTGCATAACTCTGGGGGTTGCATTCAGAGAGGCTCCAATGTAAGTAGCAGCCAAATAGTCCCATTTGGGACTATGTAATATACAACCTCCATAACTTACCACTGGCCCTGGGTGGGTGGGTGGGGGGAATTACTCTTTCCTGTCTCACTTCTAAACATCATCCCCAAAGTAGAGGCAAGTGTGTCAAGGAGTATGCCCTGCTCTTTCATCACGATTGGATGAATTGCTCATTCTGATGTCAACAGTGCTTTCTTTTTAAAAAAAATTAAAACCTCTCTGTCAGCAAGGTGAGTGTGAAAAACAAAGAGACCTGTGAACATAGGTGACCCTTTCCTCTCAAATGACAGCACCTGTGCCTGTCTATTGAGAGTATTGCCCAGCTGCCTGGTGCATGGTGTGATGCGGTTTAGTAATTAATCCTTGTCTTAGTTTCTCTTTCTAGATGATTAATTTATGCATTTTTCCCAAAGTTGTTTAAGAATGAAGTCCTACAATCCTATTGGATAAACAAAATACATATTTTGTAAAAACAGCTTGGTGTATGTATTTAGATGATGAATGGATGGATACATACATAGGTAGATAGAACTATCCTTCACATCTACTATGTAGTACCTGTGTGGAATTGCAAGGCTAATTTACTCCTATGCTCTGTCTTCCTATCTGTAAAGTAAAGATAATGGAACTGATTTCATAGGTATATTGGGGCAATGAAACCGAACAGTCTACACAAAGTTGTATTTCATTCTCTGGCATACAGGAAAACTTAAATCAATGTTAACAACGTTTCATTGTTATTTTTAAATCTTTTTTTTTTGAAGTTGCACTGACAAGAAATTCATTTCTGTCATGTAGACCCTCACTCTCCCTTATTCTAGGTCTAAAATGGACATAATTCACCTGTCTCTCTGTCTTTCCTTAAGGCTATATTTAAGTGCTCAAGTCCTTCACAGAACTTAATTTGTGCTGAATTCCTCTAGTCATTGTCTGATATATCCTGGAGAAATAAAAGGCTTTGATTTACCCACTCAACCAACCCCCATATCTGTTTCTTCAGAAAAAAATAGCCATGGCGGGGGGAGTCATAGGAAGTCTCTGTCCCTGGTTTCTGGGAATTCATTACCAAGCTTCAAGCCTTTGACACTGTCATTCTCCCTTCCCTGTTCCTACCTTTTCCTTTCTGATGCTGCCTTCCTGACCTTATGGTATGTGTGGGTTTGAATTTTCTCAGGAGCACTTCTCAAGACAGGGTTTGGATTGAAAAGTCACTTACTTGGAATCATTTGGAATGTGATCCCTTGAGGAGGGAAAGGATGGGAGGCAGAGAAGGACAAAAGCCCATGAAAGGAGTCTTATTATATGAGTGACTGCAGAGAGAAATGGGGACCTCCTGAGAGACTGCAGGATGTCTCTCACAATTGTCCCAGCAAGGGCCAAGGAAGCTATGGTGTTTAGCAACCAAGGCTTGTCCTATATTCACTGCAATGTGTCCCCAAAGGCACTTAAAGCCTGTCTGCCACTCATGTTCCAGGGTGGAAAGAGGAGAGAGATAGAAAAAGAGAGACAGGTCTGCAGGCAGAGACATAGGTGCTTGGGGACAGGAGCCCCTCAGTATGCTCTGGAACCATCCACCAGAAAAGCAAGTGAGTTGGGTGGGCTGAGGGGATTAGGCATGGTATTGACATTCAACTTATTTGGATTTTACCTTAGATGAAACGGATTCTTGGGAAAACACTGACATATTCATCAGCAAAATCAGAACTTTGGAAAAACCAAAGGATCAAGGGTCTAACCTTGAAGGAAAACAGGCCACCGCCAAAGGAATTTTTCTTTGCCTTCAAAGCATGCGGCAGCTGCTGCGCACATGCCGTGAGGGCTGGGAGACATACTGCAGGCAGGCCGTGTTCCTGGCCGGGCTGGGCTTGGCCTTCCTCTACATGACAGTCCTGGGGTTCGACTGCATCACCACTGGCTACGCCTACACCCAAGGGATTGGAGGGTCCCTGCTTAGCATCCTCACAGCCCTTTCAGCTCTGTCAGGCCTGGTGGGCACTATTCTCTTCACCTGGCTCCGGGAGCATTATGGCTTGGTCACCACCGGAGTCGTATCCAGTTGGCTCCATGTCGGTTGTCTGATACTCTGTGTGTTTTCTGTCTTTGCTCCTGGAAGTCCTTTTGATATGGCTGTCTTCTCACTTCCATCAAACAAGAATTCTTCAAACCACAAGTTGCTGAAAAAGGACCAGGAACACATTTACCCCTTTGAAAGAAACCTGAACCAACCCATCCTCCCAGACCGCTCTTCCATCCACTGGACCAACAGCACTGTTCTGTTTGATGACCAGCAGGACCCTGAGCAGCCCGAGTCATACATCTCCATCATCTTGCTCTTCTCAGGTGTGATTCTGGCAAGAATCGGTGAGCAGTGGGTCATGTTTGGCATGAGATTCTGAGGCCTGTGATCTGTCCAAGTAATCTTAAAGCATCTGATGGTCTCACTACAGAGCCACTGTAAGTTTTCATCATTTGTTCACTGAGAACAAGACCAACTTCCCTTCTTCTTTCTTCTCCTTCCCTTGCTCTTCCCATTCTTCCATTGTGGTACTGGAGATTGAACTCAGGGCCTTTGAACTGAACCACACCCTCAGCCTTTTATTTTATTTTTTAAATTTTGAGACAGACTTTCACCAAGTCATTGAGTTGCCCAGGCTGTAGTTCAACTTGTGATCCTTCTCCTCACCCTTCCAGGGTGCTGGGGTTAAAGTCATATGCCACTGCAGTTAGCCCATTCAGACTCTATGTGGTCCAAGAGTAATTTAATCATATGAGATTTTGGTCCCATGATGCTTACAACCTGGATGGGAGACCAATAAGGAAGCAGTCAACAATAGTCGGCAAGATAGCAAAGAGGAGCCATGTCAGGGAAAAAGGGGTGGATTGAGAATACACAGGAGAGGCACCAGGTTGGGCATCACACAGGAAGGCACAGATGAAGATCTCCAAAAGGAAGAGAAAGGGACAACTGTTCTAGCCAGGTGGGTGGTGGGGCAAAGACAAGGATGAAAGTTGAAGACTTGGAGATCTGAGGAAATGAAAAATACTGTGTCAGTGTCTTCATGTCTCGGAGCTTGGTCAGCTGTGTGCTTCAATGTTAAACACTAAAACTTTGGCAGTTCTACATAAAATTGTCAAATTTTTAAGGGTTTTTATGAGGTCATTTTTTTCTGCCATTTCTTTTGTAGTGGTTGCTATTTTTGTGAAAGTTGCCGTATAATTTTTTATTAAATAAGTGATAAGGTATTCAATTACTGTTAAGCCTGGTGAAGTAAGATATTTGTAGGTGGAGTTTAAGGTTCTTTGATTTTCAGCACAAGGCAACCGTTGAACTAACTAGTGTGTTTGCAATGTTGTACTTTTCAAATGGCTAAAATATTTAAAAGTTGTTCATTCAGCAATGTCTGCCATTACTTTGTTGCTAAAACTCAGAATTGAACCACAACTTACCACTTGAGTATGTGGGATCAGATACTGAAGTCAGTGAAAAGTAATCACTGCCACTTCACTGTATGAACATTTTTTAAACACTGAAGGTAACCAAACAGCCTGATGAGGCTTTCATTCATTGTTTTGAGTGAGATTTCAATACTTCAGTAGGACCTTACATTGTTCATCTACAATAGTTGCCCTAAAAAGTCACAGGATTTTGAAATAACCACTCCATCCTTTCTTTGAGCTGCTGAGACAAGAGAAAGAAAGCTATGGCTCTGTGCCAGTCAGTTGGCTAGACTATGATGAATGACTGGTAGTAGGCTCAAGTTTTTAAAAAATATTCTTACTTTTCTAAATTGTTACAGAATAACGGTTTTGTCAATGATGATAGAGGATGAGAATCTTGCCATTCAGAAATGCAGCAGCCGGGGAGATGGCTCAGTGGAATAAGCGCTTCCCTGGCAAGCACAAGGGCCTGAGTTCAATCTCCGGTTCCGAAAAAAAAAAAAAAAAAAAAGAAATGCAGTATCAGGAGAGCTGTGCTGAAACCAGTACCTGTGACCTGGAAGGTGACCCACATGGTCACCGCAGAGCAATTTCATACAACAGAAGCATGAATCGCATGAATCACTGAAACACTTGAGGGCTAGTGCAGTCCTTTTGAAAGGGAAACCCTTAATTAATATACATTTCTTATATCACCAGGTTTGTTTATATTACAAATTTAATATCAAATATTTTTCCAGGGCCAGCCAGATAGCTCAGCAGACTAAAGCACCTGCTTAGGCAGAGCACTGCGGCTGGGGTTTGATCTCCAGCCTGCCATGCTACACACCCCCACCCCCGCCTGCCCCTAGGCATGCTGAGACAGCAGTTGAGACTAGGTGTGGTGGTACATGCCTGTAATCCCAGCACTTGGGAGGCTGGAAACAGGAGAATCACTATGAGTCCAATCTACATAGTGAGACCCTGTAGACCCTACCTAGTCCTAAATACTATATATATATTCTTATTTATAAATTATATGAGACCAAAAAAAAAAAAGGAAAAACAAAATGCCATGTGAAGCATGTAGATACTACAGAGGGTGTCTACATGAATGTAGTATTTTGACCTGTGGAACTGTGATCAGAAAAAAGAGGATGACTTCATGAGCAATGGCTTTCATTAGCTTCCCGAGGAGGGCAGTGCAGTCCTCCAAAGACAAGGTGCCAAACTTGAGAGTCTACAGTCTTTTCTGCCCCAGGTTCTTGGTCTTTGAATTCTATCAACAATGATGTCATTCATATCTAGCAGTGAGAATGCACCTGCTTTGGTTAGGGCATTTATTGAAACAAAATTTTTAAAATTTTGGTTATTGGTTCCCTGACACCCCCAACAGTGACATACTGGGGATCAATGACAATGGTAGCATGAACCACTTAACAGCACATTGGGTCTTGTGCTCAATCAGACCTGCAGATATCCAGTTGGGAAACCCTAGGTCTTGCTCTTTGACATGGGATCCCTAATACAGGGTTTCCAATCAGAAAGTACCATCTATTTGCCTCCTTCCATTCAGTCACAAGCTTAAAAAAAACCAAAAACTAAGTCACAGCTTCGAAGCCCTCCCTCGCAGCATAGCTCTGAACCTCCCAGAACCCCTTGTCAGGGACGTAGAAAGTAGGGTGCAGTGGGGGTAGCTTTGGGTGCAAACCAAGTGAGCTCCCATTCCTTCATAGTCTTCCCCACATACCTCCTCTGTGTAGCACTCCTGAGGCAGAGCCAAGAAGACCCTTTGTTCAGGGCCTCAGGGGCCACAGTTGGGGAGACTGGGATTGGGAGGATGTGTTCCTGACCTCTGCCAGGAAGACCTAGAACCCTTCGGTTTATGGGAGCTTGGGAGAGGAAATGACCATTTTTAAAAAATTTTTTATGCTTTTTAAAAAAAATAATTTTATTGAGAAACAAATAGCAATGAGACAGTTTCAAAACTGATTAGTAGGACAGTTTCAATGCTTAATATATTGTATATTGTTTTTTTCCCATAATTTTATTGATAAACAAATATCAATGAGACAGTTTCAAACCAAATTGGTAGGACAGTTTCAATAATTAACACATTGCATACATTCTTCCTAGTGGTTAATTGCTGTACAAGATGTGGACATGATATCCTATTTACAAACACCATTAGAACAAATCACTCTATTCATTAAGAGAGAATGTAAGGGCCGGGGAGATGGCTCAGTGGAATAAGCGCTTCCCTGGCAAGCGCAAGGACCCGAGTTCAATCCCCGGTTCCGCAAAAAAAAAAAAAAAAAAAAAAGAGAATGTAACTATATATCTAACCTAACCACTTTGAATACACAGATACAAAATGAACATTCATTTGTGTACCCTTTTTTTGTTAAGTTCCGTTATTTGAATATTATAGGCATGTAAACTCAGCAAAATATTCTAAAAGAGTCCAGTAGCCCATAATTGTATTGGGTCTTCTGCTTGACTGGCAATGTCAGAAATTGTTGACCCGAGTCCCCTACAAGAAATGACCATTTTGAAGGGCAGTTCAAGGTTTCAAAGTCATATGCTTACCTCAGAACCTCATTATTCTGATATAGTGAGCATATATGAGAAAGATACTGAATTCCTTGTTCTGTTTTTGCAGAACCAGGGATTGAACTCAGATCCTTGCATTTGCAAGTCAAACGTTTATCGTACTGAGCCATCTCCCCGGCCCCTTGTTTGTTTGTTTTTAATCTTGCCTTGTAAGGCTGGCCAAATAGCTCAGCACATTAAAGCACTTGCTCAGGCAGACACAAGGGCCAGGGATTCCACCACCACCACGGGCCCTGCCTCCGGGGCCTGCTGAGACAGCAATTGAGACTGGGCGTGGAGGCACAAACCTATAATCCCAGCACTTGGGAGGTTATAAACAGGAGAATCACTGAGTTCAATCTAGTAGTGAGACCCTAAATACCTTGTAGAACTTTACCTAAAAAATACAGAAAGAAAAAAAAACATTATAAAGAAAAAAATCTTGCCTCGTAACTCAAGCTGGCCTTGAACTCACTGTGTAACTCAGGCTGGCACTGAATTTGTGGTGATCCACTTGCCTCAGCCTCCTGAATGCTGGCATTACAAGTATAAGCTTACTATACCCTGATTAACATATTCTTAAGATACCTGCTGAGTAGATTCTCTTTTACTTGGTATTTGACTTGTGTTTCTCCTCTTTCATCACACAAACAACTAAGAGTAGACTGACCATTTAAGATTTCTGCAGTTCATATTGTGTTGTTTAGTTCAAATGGCAAAACAAATCCACTAATGACTCCCATCTGCCAGGAACACTGGGCTTCCCAACACAGAGGAAATGAACACATTTAGAGAAGTCAGCTGGGCCTTGGCTCAGCAAAAGGGAAACATAGCCTTTCTTCCCCTGCAGCAAGGACAGCTGCTGACTGCATCTTGGATGAGGCTCCAAGAGATGCAGAGCTCTCGTGATACTCCAGAGGGACACAGCTCATGGCCTGAGCCAGGCTGCCTGGTGATGTTGGCAAGACCCCCGAGTCACGGTTTGCCAGTCTGTATGGTAAAACACTAACAGTACCTCCCCATTAGGGAGGTCTTGGAGGTGCTGCGACAATTCCTGCAGGTAAAGGTTTGGCACAAAACTCCTAACTGTAGGGGCTACATGTTAAAATGAATATATCCTGGGCTTGGTGGTACTGTACAGCTATTTTTGGAAATTGGGGCAGGAAGATGACCAGATCGAGGCCAGCCTGGGCAACTTATCAAGATTGTCTCAAATCTTTTTAAAAATCAAAATTTAAAAAAAAATTAAGTTCTGGGATGCAGCTCAAGGGATTCAACTCCTAGTACCACAATGAAGGAGAAGGGGAAGGAAGGGAGGAACAAGGGAAAAGGGAGGGAGAGTGGGTCTCATCTTCAGTCATCATTATTAATTTTAGCTTTAATTTTCATGCCTTTTCAAGTGTTGCTAGAGTGGGCAGTGCCATGAGGAAGCACATGCTAGTGACCGTGTTTCCTGACTCCTGAGTCTATTCCTGTCAGGAGTACAAGTGCCCTTGGAGTTGA